CCACCTTAGGTGTATGTGGCTGGCGCCTTAGCCGCTTGAGCCACAGGCGCCGAGCCATATCCCCGTTTGTTAATTGACACATGACTGTAGTAACTTGAGCAAAATCCTTATGCATGTGGGAGGCGACAGATAAAACTCTAAATTAATTTTAGGATGGTGGGATTGTGTTTTGTTTTTGGGGGGGGGGGACAAAGTCTCAGTATGTTGCCCTCAGTAGAGTGTCGTGTTGTCCCAGCTCACAGCAACCTCACACTCTTGGGCTTAAGTGATTCTCTTGCCTCTGCCTCCCAAGTAGCTGAGACTACAGACACTTGCCACAATGCCCAGCTATTTTTTGGTTGTAGTTGTCATTGTTGTTTGGCAGGCCCAGGCTGGTTCACCCTCCAGCCCCAGTGTATATGACCAGCGCCCTAGTGGATTGTGTGTGTGTGTTTTTTTTTAATCTTTTGAACTTTCTTGTTAGATTTGATTGTCTTTTCACACACACACACACACACACACACACACACACACAAAAGGCTAGAGCCCAGGAAATGTACATACCCTTACATACCCCTGAAGGCAGTGCTATCAACCCGCTGCCTGAATGGGGCCAATCATCTCTCCACTGCTCTTCTTTATCCTATTCAGTGTGGCCGCTCATCCCTATTATGTCTGCCACAGGACTTCTGCAGTCTGGAGAGAAATGAAAATAGGAAACATGGAAGTAAAAATGAGAGACAATAGCTTTTAAAATGTTTGACTAAGGAATAACTCTCAGAGGGGCTCTGTAGTAGTAAATTCTGACACTTCTTTCCCCAAAAAAAGCACTCTGAAAGTTTACTGTGTACCCACTCCACCAATAACAATTCTTAAGGAAACATTTTCTTCATAAATTGCTAAGGATTAAGAAAAAGATTTTAAAGCATGATATAATACTTGGGTAACTAAAGACCAAAAGCCAGTTGTCAATTGCTTGAAAAGGTCATGAATTAAGTGAGCCAATTCTCTCATCTGCTCTTAGTTAAGCATAAAGGAAAGAATTTATTATTTTTACAGAGTGGCCAGTGAGTAAAATTTGTAAAGCTTCGTCTCTGTATATGTACAGAGACTGGCCTGAGAGAGGAGAGAGGGGACAGGGAACGAGGAAGAGGAAAAAGAAAGCGGTTAGCAAAGAAGCCACAAAATCTGGGAAAAGGGAAGGAGAGGGAGAGAACAGTGGAGAAAAAGGTTTACTTGAGAGGCACCTATTTGAATGCCTGTCGGGCCAGGCTCCTTCCAAAGGAAAGTTGGCCACGTGCATGGTGATTGTGCAGGACCAGATGTTTAAACCTGATGCTGGTCTATATGTGTTTGTGAAAATTCATCAAGCTGCATGCTTGAGGTCATTGCCCTTTTCTCTATGTATATTATATAACTTCAATAAGGCTTAAAATAAAAAACAAAGGAAAGGAAAAGAAACAACCACTGTATATAGATTAGAGTAGTTGTATATGAATTATTATTTTCATGAATTGTTCAAAAAAGCTTACTCCAAGTATTTCAAAACAAACATCACTCATTTAAATTGGCCAGTGTTGCCAGATTGTTACAAATTAATGGTATGACTAGCAGGAGGGCTCTGTCTGCATGAAAAACATTCTTGAGATCTTGCTGTCTTTATAAAATCTTTGTTTTGGTGCAGACTGAGTATAAATTCTTACTGAGTGGCTGATAGCCCAGGGCTACGAAGTAGGAATAATGAGCTACCACCGCTGGCTGTGATGATTAGGTTGTTAAGTCTGAAATGTCTGATTTTCTTAAAAGTATTAAGTTTGACAGTCAACGTTTTCACTTTGATACTTTTTGTTTTATTTTTATTGTGAAGGGATGTCTTCATTTTTCAAATGCATGTTTTGGCTTATGATTATCTTTCCATTTTTTTTTTTTTAGAGCAATTTTTGTGAAACCATGGATGGGTAAAAAATTCGTGTTACTGGCAAAACTGAGGGGCTGTGGACAAGGG